AAGAATGTACGGCGGTCACCTCGGCTCCACGGGTCGGTACGACGTCTGGGTGAATATCACCGAGTGGAAGTGAATGTTGTGGAGGTAGAGAACTGTGATCGTGTGTGTGTGTGTGTGTGTGTCGTAGGCTGTGTAGTTCAAAGTAAGGGATTCGAACATCAAACGTTTTTGTTGTTTTTTATGTTACAGTATTTGCAAGTGTTTGGCAAATGACTGACGGACAGCACTTTGTCTTTTCTCTTGTTTGGTGTAGTGACAAAACAGCTGGAGTTTGGGATGACTGTGTGTGTGTGTGTGTGTGTGTGTGTGTGTGTGTGTGTGGTGGGGGGGGGTGGGGGGGGTCCACCTGCTGCACCTGAACGAACTCTTCCCTCAGACTGCTGACATTGGCTGGTGGGGAACAGGACGGTGTTGACATGACAGTTGAATCTGTAGTTTGATGGACTGGTTGGTAAAAGTTCGGCACAGTGTTTTTGTTTTTGTTTTCCGTGCCCACGGTCACTGCTTTGTTTCTCCCCAGGTCTGAGCTCGGCTGTGCGCTCTCGCTCTGTGAGGTTCGCAAGAAATAAAGTTGTTTTTTTTTTCTTGCATATCGACTTTTCTCTGAGTGGATTTTTTTTCTCCCACCACGTGTCTGGATATTTACACAACAACAACAACACGAGTTCTCGATCGAAGCCAGGTCAAAGGCTCTCCACGCCTTCACGGGTCCGTTTCTTAACTCAACTTAGAAATCGGAAAGTCAGAGTTGGACCTCTCCGGCTTCTGGAAGCCAGACCTGTGGCAATAACTCTGTGTTTCGTGAGCCAGCTTCAAGAAACGGACCCCAGGACAACAATAAATCTCTAACGTTTCTGCCGCGACTCTTCACTCGCTGACTCTACATTTGGTCAATCTCGGTCCTGAGTTGGAACTTGTAGGCCTTTAGAGCTACCTCAACTCTTAAAGGGACTTTTCCATGGTAATACTATGCTAATTAGTCTAAGCTGCATAGACTTTGGTCCATGTCAGGGAAGCACCGTCACGCAGTTGTTACACATCCATGCTGAGAACCATGTACCGTTAGATTTCAAAGGTGCTCAATAAAATTGAGATCAACATTTAATCACGGTAAACTTGGTAACAGTTTTAAGAGAGTTGGAGCTAACAGCTAACTTTACCAAATACTGTGGTTTTTTAAATTCAAAATACATAGCGAGTTCGGCCTTGTTTGTCGTTAGCTGCCACTAGGAGGCAGTGTTTATCTGTTTTAAATTAATGTATTCAACTCCAATGTTTTTTTCCTGTTAGGTCAGGAACTGTAGGCCGGTCCAAACTAACAGGAGGAGATAAGGTACTCCTGAGTTCACTGAAGGTGTTCCTACAGAACCAACCCTGTCAGAAGTCACTCACTCCCTCACTTTATATCCATAAAATCCCAGCAGGTGGAGACAAAAGAAAATTATTAAAATGATGTTCACAGCAGCCACTAATCAGAGCTCGGGGAATGTAGAACACTGCTGTGTTCACAGTGCTTTAGGTAACGCGTAATCTTTTAAATACTACCTGGGGGATTTTCTGAGTATTTGGAGTCCAGAGGCATCATCTCCATTACAGACAAATTGTTACAAAAATGTATACAGTGCTGTGGAATATCAATATGGTATCATGATAGGAAATGTTGCGATATTTCAGTGTATTGATATTTTAGTACACCCATATTTTTGGTACATAGACCAGCATTAAAAAAAAAAATCCTCAAATTCACTTGATGGATTCAAGAGAGATTTGCAATAAATGTCTTTCTTCAATTTCTAGGGGTTACATCAGCATCGTGTTCACCTAAACAGGCCCAGTAGAGGATCATTATATCTCATTACATATACTTTTTGTTTAGTGTAAAATATATATAATATGAAGCCTTGGCTAAAATCAGTGGGAAACACATTTGGTCTCTCTCCCCACCTGCCCCCCCTACCGTCAGTGTGTGGTTAAATCAAGTACTGTACTTGATTTTTTTCTTCCTGAACCAAACACAGCATATTTCCCTGAGATGTTGTCTGTGGAACAACAGTTCAATTTGTAGCAGATTATAAAGACTGCACTAACAGCAAATGGAAAATGGAAAAAAAAAAAAAGATATCTCTCAGTGCAGAGTGGTGCACTAATGGTACTAATGCTAATTCTCCCCTGACAGCATTCTTGGGCAGCGCACATGTAGTGCTTGAAGTACTTGTGCTGCGTACTGCAGAAATGTGGGGGGGTTTGGGGGGGTGGGGGGGTGGGGGGGGGGTACAGCCTGAGGTGGCCTTGGGGATGAATTAACTTGTTGCATTCTTATCTCTCAGCTTTCATCCCTTTCACAATCTGGTGCTGCCTGGATTTTTCCAAAGCCTTTCTGACAATCGTGTGATGAACACGCTGCTCAGCTCAAAGTAAAAAAAAAAATTAAAAAAATCCTCAGCTTGGTACCATTTTAAAGGGGGGGGGGGCTGTCTCCTAGTTCCTGTTAAATATACATCATATTTATATATATATAATAAGTGATATCATAAAAACATCAGCTATTGAAAGGACACGTGCAAATCATCTGTCCTTAGTTTGTTAGAGCAGCGATTCTCAAATAGTGGGGCGGGCCCCCCTTTGGGCGCGGTGAGGTGCCGCGAGGAAGGGGTGGAATGTTGGGGGGGGGGGCGGTGATCGTGAGACGCTTTCAATGGAATATGTCACACTGGACAGAAGTGTACCACTGCTGTAACGCTTGAACGATATACAAGCCTCCAGTCACCAGGTGGCAGCAACACATACAGCGATTTGTTGTGATAAAAAAAAAAAATGTATTTTGTGGGTGGGGGTTGGGGGGGGGGGGGGGGGTAGGGAGGTGGGCTTGAAGAAAAATGATGTTCCCTATGGGGGGGCATGACCGAATATAATTAAGAAACAACAAAAGGTCAGTTCATTTAGGGATACAAGGCTTTGACCCAGGGGTGTCAAACTATCAACCTGGGGGTTGGGGGGGCACTTATGGTCTACGAATCCCCCACATCTGGCCCACAACAAGGTGTATAAAATAGTTTAATTTTTTTCATTTAAGAACGAGATAAAAAGAAAAAAATGTATGACATGGTGGTGACAGCAGTGGCCCTGAGCGACCCCTGCTGTAACCACCCAGGACTGGACCAGAAAGAGACAACATTTACAAGGTTCAGAATCTTACGATAAACAGGAAATCCGTACAATGAAATATCAACATGGCAACATCGTTACCACATCCTCATAGTCACGTGACTACATCTTTGTTTGAAGGAAACTTCAGGATGTATGCCCTTGCTACTTGCTTATATGAAATTATCGCGATATTTACATTAAGACCAAATATCGTTCATGCTTTTTAAATGTTGAGACGACGCACCTGACGTGGAAACAGGTGCGTCTCCCAGCCGTCACACGAGTGAGACAAACACACAGAGCGACGGAGACAACCGCGTCTGTAGCAGCAGCAGCAGCAGCACCGCCCGCCCGGGATGTCACCGCTGCTGCCGTAACACACACTTACTCGCTCACTCGCGTGATTCCTCAAGCAGGCGTCACGAGCGGAGTCCGCTTCATTTACATACATGACACCGCCCAGGGGGACGAGCAGGATAATGTACCGTCGTGTGAAAGCAGAAAACCGTGAGAGGAGGGAAACATCGTCGAAACAAAGTTTGAGCAGCAGGACGTTGTTTTAGACCGAGTCCAGCGTTTCCACAGGGAGGAGCGGGCGCTTCATTCGCGCTCTTTCCCCCACTTTCGGATTTCGACATGGACGCGTTGAAATCCGCAGGAAGGGCAATTATACGGAGCCCCAGTATCGCCAAACAGTCGTGGGGTTCGGGCAGACATAAAAGTAAGTGCTCAGTTGTTCCAGTGAATCCACGCCAAGGCGTTAGCTGCTGCTAATCTGGATCGACGAGTCGCTAACGTTTACAACCAGTGTTAACTTTTCAACTCGCGAGTGTCATTGTGTGTATGTGGTGGGAACAAAACAGCTGTCAGGGGGAAACAGATGAAAGGTTTTCCGCTGCCTCTGAACGGAAGTGTGGAACAAAACGATTGGATTCATGTTCAAGACATTCGTGTTTGTTGTCGTGTTCAAACTTAACGCACACACAGTGGCAGCGGCTGCTGTTTGACTCTTGTTGCGGCTTTGGTTCAGTCGGTATCCGGGTGAAAGTTTGTCGTTGCCGTGATTCCCTGCCGTTGTCTGCCACGTCAGTCACAGTGACTGACACAGGTTCATCCAGACAGGGAGCGGAGGTTGGACAGATGTCCTGGAGGTGGTCAACAGGTGGAGACGGGGGACACACATCCCCGAAAACTGGGGACACACATCCCCGAAAACTCTCTCTGCCTCTGTCTCTCTCTCTGTTACACACACACACACACACACACACGGAGATGTCGTACCCCTGGCAAGTCTGTGCCACCCTAACAACGTTCTGTTGCTAGGCAATACACAACCTGAGGCCGAAAAATGAAGGTTGAGTGTTTAAGGAAGGATTGGCTGAGGAGTCACCTCAGTTTGAAGAGGTTTCTTCACGGTTTCACCGTCGAATATTTGACAACATCTTGTTCCGTAGTTGATAATCGTCACCTCACTGTTGACATGTTGTCACCGTAAAAAAAAGAGAAATAAACATATATGTTTATCATGGCACATACATAAAAACATGTATGGTGATCCAACATGTCTGCCTAAGTAAAAAAATATATTTAGTATAAGTTGATATAAAAGCATGGATGGTGATCCAACATGTCTGCCTAAGTAAAAATATACATTCAATATAAGTTGATATAAAAACATGTATGGTGATCCAACATGTCTGCCTAAGTAAAAATATATATTTAGTATAAGTTGATATAAAAGCATGGATGGTGATCCAACATGTCTGCCTAAGTAAAAATATATATTCAGTATAAGGTGATATAAAAACATATATGGGGATCCAACATGGCTGGCTAAGTAAAAATATACATTCAATATAAGTTGATATAAGAACATATATGGTGATCCAACATGTCTGCCTAAGTAAAAATATACATTCAATATAAGTTGATATAAAAACATGTATGGTGATCCAACATGTCTGCCTAAGTAAAAATATGCATTCAGTATAAGTTGATATAACAACATATATGGGGATCCAACATGGCTGGCTAAGTAAAAATATACATTCAGTATAAGGTGATATAAAAACATATATTGTGATCCAACATGGCTGGCTAAGTAAAAATATATATTTAGTATAAGTTGATATAAGAACATATATGGTGATCCACCATGGCTGCCTAAGTAAATATATAAAGTCAGTAAAAGTTGATATAAAAACATATATTGTGATCCAACATGGCTGGCTAAGTAAAAATATACATTCAGTATAAGGTGATATAAAAATATATATGGTGATCCACCATGGCTGCCTAAGTAAATATATAAAGTCAGTATAAGTTGATATAAGAACATATATGGTGATCCACCATGGCTGCCTAAGTAAATATATAAAGTCAGTATAAGTTGATATAAGAACATATATGGTGATCCACCATGGCTGCCTAAGTAAAAATATACTTTATCAGCCTGAGAACCTCTGCTGTATGGACTTTATTAAAGGCTTTTTAAGCGGGCCATACACAATGTCTTGACGGGCCGCGTTTGGTCCTTGGACCTTGAGTTTGATACGTGCTGTAGTGAATTATCTATAGATTATTTTTTCTGCTGTGTTTCACAGTTTATCACAAGCCTGTTTTTGAAGCAGCGTTCTGTCACTTTTTTTTCCTCCCTCTACGTCTCATACAAAGGGACAGTTAGCAGGGAAATGTCATCCGTGCCGCTCCGTGTCGGTCCGTGCCGTCGATGCCTGGTTCTGACCCCGTCCTCTGCAGGGCTGAGCGTTTTGCACACAGTCCCACATCAACATCCGAGCTGGCGGTGACCGCAGAGAGTGGAGGACTGATCAATAGCTGATGTTGAACTTTGTCATTAAGTCACCGCGAAACAGAGACAGAGACAGAGTGATCCGGTGGCAGAGGGGGTTGGGGTGAGGGAGCGAGACAGAGAGACAAACACACAGAGAGAGAGGGAGAGCTGTAATTTCTTGTTGTTTGAGAAAAAATTGCTCAGTACTTTGTCCAGCACAACAAAGGTTCATCAAATTGTCCCCTCATGTCCACGGTGATTCTCAGGTTGCTGCCTCTCCTTTACTTCTCTTTTCATCCTGGTAATTTTTTCTCAACTCTGTGTCAAGGGGTTTAAATAACAGGTTCTTAAGTTATGGCTCCCTGCAGCCAACACTGAACATTAATGTTTGGATCTGGACCATCGACTATAGGCACGCCAACACTGAACATTAATGTTTGGATCCGGACCATTGACTGTAGGCACAAAAAAAAAAAAACAGGCTCAGAAAGAAAGAATAAAGTTGTTCAACCATATATGTATTTTATTTTTGTTAGTGTTCCTGTTATTTAATGTTGAAACACTGCCACTTCCTCCCTGCTGTTCATCAGCATAAGTCCTCAGTTGACCCCCCCCCCCATTGACTCTAAGTTGCTGTTGGTGTGTATTTATTACACAATTGAGTATTACACTAGCTGTTAGCACGCCCGCCTTCAAGCAGAGAACAGAATGCCCTGGGTTTGATTCCCAAAGGAACCACATATCCCTAATGGCGCCTCCCGAGCGGCAGCAAGTGAGTTGCAACCATGTAGTTAATGGCGTCTCACCACCTTAATGGCCTGTGTCGGTTTCAAAGACTCACACTGTAAATTCCCCTGTTGTGGGTTGATTAAGGGACTAAATTTTTCTTCTTCTTATTATTATTACATTTTATATTTAGAAAAAAATTTCAGCACAAAAACTAATTTTTGTTCCACATTTATTGTCCTGTACACAGTAAGAACGCGGTGGTTTAAATGGGCAGTATACATTTTTTTTTCTTTGTTCTAAGCATGAAAACAAATCATAAAAAAATAAAGTAATTAAAATGAGCCAAAGCAGCCAAATCGGAAGTAAGAATGTGATTTAAAATAAATAAATAAAATACTGCCAGCCACGGTGACGCAAAGGTGTGTAAGAGATCTGCAGTAGAGCTGAAGTACTTTATATTTATAATAGCACTCACTGTTGTCACTGAAAAGGTCTCTATTACAACGTCAGTGGAAAATGTGATGCAGTGTCAGTGGGACAGTTGGACCGTCCTGTATGATGAGCCCGGTGACCAGACAGAAAAGGCTGAAATGTTTCACTGCCCACAGGCGTTCTGCTGGTTCATTGACCTGTCGTGAAAGAGGACGTGAGAAGAAGAACTGAGAATATCAAGGCTTGAGAACATGTTCTTATGCAACTGTTTACTGATGTTATCAAGGGAAAAATAAACAACATTTATTTTTGTCTTCTGGATGTTTTAACTGAATTAGTTTGTTTATAACTGAAGTAGTGGCGCTTTGGCCCAGAGGTCAACGTCTCTGTCACGTCTCCCCAGGGTTCACCTCCTGGGCAAGTTTGAATCCCGGTTCGGGCAGTTGGTACCTTCCAGTGGACTCACCACCCGCAGGAAGGTTTGGGGGGGGTTGGAATGGTGCAGTGTGATTTGGGTGGCGACTGCTGCCCCCGCGACCCGGTAACAGATAAGCGGATGAAAATGGATGGATGGATGGATGGATGGATAACTGAAGTAGCGCTTTCAGGCATAGACCCAAGCACTAACGGACCAAAATGTGAAGGAATATTATAAATATTGGTATAATAACAGGAAATGTGATGAATATTCTTCTCTCTAATAACAGGAAATGTGATGAATATTCTCTCCCTGTTGGGGCTGTGAGTGGTAGAACTTAAGAAAATTTCGATACATTGAAATATCACAATACTTTGTTCCATGATACAAATTTGTATTCTACAGCACTGTATGAATTTTTTTTATTATTATTAACAATTACCAGACAAATATTCATGGCGTTGGTTGATCAGAAGTAGGCTGCGTTATCTCAAAAAGTTACTGGTTAAACCATGACACTACACACTCGGTACAGTAGGTGGTGGTATACACCTAAAAACGTTTAACAGTTAACGTTTGTCTTTTCTTTCGTCTCTAGTGATTTCAAATGTAGATCCTTCTGTTCCGATGTTCAGATGGAACTGCTTTGTGTGTTTAAAAAAAAAAAACCCAATATACTGTATCGTCATGCCTACAGCATCGCAATATATTGTATCGTTGCCTCTGTACCAGGATACGTATCATTCTTGCCGATACACGGCTCTGTCCAGCACTGAAGTGCCAAACACAGCCACAGGAGGCCTCGTGCTGCAGTAAGAACCCCGACTGACGCCTGAACTATTTCGAACACGACTGGGATTAAAAGTAAACGCATCCAAACAAATTTATTCATGTCGTGCATTTTTGTGTGATGAGGCATCGTGTAAGAAAACCTCTTTGTTACGGACAAGTAGTGGCAGATCACGACAGATCTTTGCACCGTTTTAAGTTTATAATAAAAATAATGCTGATGGCGATGGTGATGTGACATTTCACCGACGTCTCCTCGTAGACGTCTCGTCTTTGTCTGAGTCCAGTGACATAATAACAGGCCGTATTCACAGGGAACTTCAGAGCCTATCAGAGGTGGACTTAGTATTTTTGAACTTGTTTGATGTATGCATACTGTCTGTTGTAATTTACTCCTTTAATCTTGTCCTTGGACTTAGTTTTGTGACTTACGAGAAAAACCCTCGTCATATTGACAAGTCTGTAATTTGAGGCCAAGTCTTGCCACATGTCTCCAGTAGGACGGCCTGTCCTGCCCATGTGCTGGGCTTGGCCTTGTCAAAGCAACTCACCCAGATGGTTG